AGTGCATGATTAATGGATGTTATTAGCAGATTGTAAAGGTTATGTCATAAAAATATACTCTTGATCATATGTAGCATGGTGCAATTTAGGATAGTTGATAGTCCTGTAGCATATACAGTTCAGAAGGTGTTTGCTTATTGGTTTTCTATCTGTTAGGTATAGCAAACCAGTAATTTCACATGTCACCATATGTTGTATACAAGAAAAACCGCATATATAAAGGTCACTCAAGGGCAAAGCCAGAAGTTTCCTTTATACAAACGATCTTCGTTTTATAGAAGTGGTTTCGATGTTAAACTTCTACTGCAGGAAACTACCAAGTGTCCTTTATAAACGCGTCTCCGTTCTATCGAGCCGCGAACATTGGCACCCGGCAGATAGATGCGATATGATATGACTACTAGGCACTTAGGATATGACTATTAGGCACTTAAAAAAAAACAACCCTAACCCTAATCCTAAAAATAAAAATAAATTAAATAAATTAAAGTGCCTAGTAGTCATATCATATCGCATCTTTCTGCCAACACCGAACATTGCACGTCGTGTCTGATCGCGCAGCTATGCGTTATTGCAGTATTCGTCGTCTATCCTGGACTCGCAGTCGGAGCTGGACGAGGCTCACCCACAGGTGGACTACACGCCACCCTCCTTCATCACACTGCTGTTCACAGACCTGGGTGTGCTCACCCCGTCGGCCGTCAGCGACGAGCTCATCAAGCTCTACTTATAACGACTACATCTCGAACGCTGCTACGAAGCTCTCATGCACAGCTGACGATCGGCGCGCAGAGTGGTCCGTCGATGATGCTGGGATATAAAGTCAGGGTATTCCCCGTAGCACTTACAGCCTGGCATGCCACGCCAGATACTGGTTAGCTGTCTTTGTGGTTGTTTTTTTTGACGGGCAAGGGCAGGATTTAATAACGATATAGAGAGATGTGGTGATTGCTTGTATGAGCGAGCTGTAGATTTGTATATATTAATGTTTCATTGTCTCCGTGTGTTGTAGTATCTCTTTAATGTGTAGCGATTCGAAGGGGAAGCATATCTCGGCAGGCGTTTTTACATTCTCTCCGTGCAGTCTAAACTCATTGCGTGAAAAATTTCTCAACGTGTTGGTTATAAAGACATGCAAATATATTTTGAGATACTGCTATCTATACAGAATTTGGTTCGTTTTGCCTACTGAGACGTATTTAATGGAATAATATTCTTCAGGTACAGTGGTTATAGTTATTTCAATCGGTTACAAAATGAGATGCGTATTTTGTTATAATGCACCAATTGCCATTGCAGCCAAATGCAGCAAACTAGATGGAAAAGGAGAAATAATGTCACTGGTCAGACAGAATTCTTACTAAAAACATCACCATGGAAACTGTTTCGATTCAACTTTTAATATCGTTCAAATAGACAATATATACACATTATATTTGCAAATGGGTTTCCTCTTCAAATTTCATTTTCATAAAACGATAATGAGTCATTCAAGAAATTGAATGCCTCTGCAAGTATAAGCAGAACAAGTACGTGACATGATAGAAAAAGTGTCAATACACTTGGTTTTCAGTCTCAACCACTGCTTTAGAGATTTTTGGCATGATTCCCATCTGCCACCAACATTGATAGTAGTGACTCACAGGGAAATATAGTAAACAGTTGAGGACACATTGATTCACAGTTAACACACACAACACACACAAACTCAGTGGCCACAACGCGTAATATATTGTAATGTTGTAATGTACACAAAGCGTAATGTTGTTAATTGAGAACTTGCCATTCAAATATCGAACATACCATAGATATATATACAACACACATGTGTTGTATATCTATAAACATGCGTATAATAACATTGCTTCTTCTGCAACATTGCAGATTTAATTCAACGCCACCTTGTGTCAGATCACTTCACTACTGTCTCTGGAGCTTTTTGGTTTCTTTGCAGGCAAAACAGTTAATCTGGGAACGTTTCACCAAGGTTCTATATATGCTGCAGCAAAAATTGCAGCAGAAAATTATCCGGACATGTTTCGCGTTCTAAGAATAACACAACTAAGGTACTCTACAGAAAACCAGACGAGATTACCGGCTGGTAACCTCCACAAAATATTACCAGCCACAGTCTCATATAATTCTCTTGCTCAAACAATCTGATTTAGCTATGTACCAATGAAAATAAGTGTAGTTTCCATATCCCAGTCTGTCCAGCCATTCAAGCTGGCCATTGGACCAAACACGGTCTTTTACGAATATTAAAACTTTGGTCACTTTATTTCCCTGCTTTAGCCCCATTCATCCCTGATTAAGTATCTTAAATTACCAATTCAGGAAAATTCGGTGCAGCTCATGTTTGACCTAAAATGCACACGGATATCAGGCTCTCACCTACATGAACCCCTTACCTCCTCCCCCACGCACAAACATAGTGTATAAGTAACATCATCATCAGAATCTACTGTGGACTTCTGCATTCTTAGGATCAAATAACTCTCCAAAAAAATCACGCACCTATATGCTTAAACCTGGTTGCCTGCTATTACAGAATGTGATAAGTAAGGCAATATTAAGGAAAATTCTTCCATATCTGCTTTTGCTTTCCACTCGCCTTCTCATAACAAACCAGGCTTCAGCAAGAATGTGAGACTCAATTGTAACCTGACATTGCAGTCCAACCCCCTTCCTTTCCCGTGTGACCGTCAATCATAATCTCACCTGATCCATATCGATGCACAGTAACAGCAAACCCTGCCAAGAGCGCTGTTTTCACATCGTTTTTAAAACCCACGCACGTAGACACTGACAAACATACAACACCTCAAGAAATGGTCATTATTATTTCTTGTACTCTATTCGTTCCACCTTTACTTCGTCACCCAGTAGTTGATAAACGTATGTGACGACAGTGGAAGCTTGAATGTCCATCAGGACAAATGATGGCACAATCTCACTGAAAGCAGACAAAGCACACTTGACCAGGGTGTCTGAATTGGCCCAGAGCCACGTCCAGTTTTCAATACCACAACTTGCTCTTGCAGATTCACGAGGGTCGTTGGAAGCACGTATATAACCACATAGCAACAAGTGGCTCAAATTATTATAGTAAAACTTTTTTGCTTATCATTTATTGTGTATTGACTATCTAACACTGACGTTAATGTTTAAGAAACTTTTAAATTTTTCTAATGTCCATGTCAGGGTTTCTTCTGAGGGAAAATTAGACAAAGGAGGTAATGGCCAGTTTGGGGGAAAAACGCGCATGATGGATTTAAATACAGGATGTATTGCTATACTTATAGGTATATAGATACAGGATATACTTCAGTGCTCGAAATAAGAAAAAAAAATTGGTTGTCCTGCGGACAACCCCAGCATCAAATCGGGTTGTCCGCAACAATTTCTGGTTGTCCCA